GCCTTATTTAAAGTTTCTTGTACATTTATAATACATGTAGGAATCAGGTCGAATCACGCACTATGACCAAAAGGCAAGTCGCGAGAAGTAAGTGGTCTTGGGAAGATAGCCATAGGTTCTACATACCTGTTCCTTGTGAACCAGGGTTGGAAACTTTTGGTTTATGTGAGAGATCAAAGTGCTGTCGCCTTGGTTTGGGCCCTAAGTGCCGTTTCTAGGATTGAAGTGCTTAACACTACGTGTTATGGGACAGAAATCTAAAATTTTTGCTGATAATATGGGAGAGGCATAAGCCAGAATTCTCATCTGACGTTGAGTTGTCCGAGTTTTGTTTATAATATCCATTCGCTATGTCATTTGCTGTTGTCCTTTACGTATATGGACCGTCTAAAAGCCCGACCTTGATGACTGTTAGTTATCGGAGCCGGTTAGTAAACAAAACGTCTTACTCAGTGGACTTTCGGATGTAATATCATGAAGGAAATGATAAAAATGCTAAATAGCCACTTTCATCCATCTTGCCCGTCCAGTATCGTCATTTCCACAAGGTAGTATTGCAGACTGCATGTTGACACAACTGCTGTCTGAATGCACCACGCTTGTGGTTATTATGACCCACCAACTGTCCCCTAAATGCTTTCTCTTTCTCTCTCCCTCTTACTCTTACTCCGTTGGTGACTGTAGGGGGGTTTATCAATCCCGTGAGTTTCAGTGGTGTGCCAGCTTTTGGCGTGGAAATGGTAATTTGGACATGCATTTCGCAAAGCAGTTCTGCGGCATCAGGTAGTCAGGACTTCAAGTTCAGGTGGTCGCAACCCAGGGAAGGGTCGGTGCTAACGTCTTTAAAGTGTACAGGACCAAAGTAAACACAGGCGAATGCTAATAATCTCCAGCAGATGCCTACCAGGGCTTTCTCCCACACGCCTTCTGTTGTCTGTCCCAGAAAATCTGGCCTTTATGTCATAGGTTGCAGTGTCTGAGCCTCCAACTAATTAAAGAAAATGTCGCTGCGTGTTGGAGAGGTTGGCAGCGGCGGTGGCGTGAGACCGCGGAGCAGGTGAGTGCATCCCTCATTCACACACCATCACCGCCACCACCACCGCCATCAACCACTCTCCCACGTTAGTTTCTTTCCCAATTGGGGTGGTGGAGGGGGGGGGGTGAAATCAGGGGGTGGATGGCGTAGGAGGTAGTTCGGCGTGGATGACAGTTTCTCGCGGAGCGAAGAGCGCGCAGCGCACGCGCGCCCACATATTTTTCGTCGAACCCCAGCGTCGAGGTCGCGGTCCACTGAGTCCATTCAATCTGTCACAGATTGGATTTCCCTGCCTTCAAGGTGGCAGCCCCCGACGCGTCGCGCACTCGTGGCCACGCCGCCGTTCATGGTGGTAGGCTTTGATCCAGGCGCAGGGGCGTGATGGGGCGGCGGGAGGGGGGGTGGGGCAGAACTGAAAAGGCATCCGAATAATTGCGGGTCGCCTTGAATAAACGATTCAGCCGGTCGTCTCATAAAGCAGAAATTAGCATAAAGAATCTCCCTAATAAGTGCTGCGTTGGCAAAGTCATGACTTTGAGCTGCTGCACGGCTCTCAGGTGAAAACAATGAGTGCGCGGGGCGTGCAACAACGCCGTTGGGTTATTTCCAGTCTGACTAGGCAATTCTTGCAAATCTTCTATCTGACCTATAAAGGGGCAACGATCGGATGAAGGACCCCAAACACATGACCAGCCAAACGAGCCTGTCTTACGAGAAAGGTGGTGATACGGGTTTTACTGGCGGGTCCTATATATGCATAGAGGATTGGCAAATTCGTTTTTCGGGTGGAAAAGTCTTGATGTATTGACATATAGCAACCGAAATTAAGCAGAACAATTGAAAAAAAAACAACATTAAGCATCTAGAACGATCGCTTTTCAACTCCCTGAGCTGAGTTCATTGTAGATAGTGCACCAGGTCGTCTACAGCAGACGACCCAACCTTGTACGATGAAATACCAAACCGAAATAATCGTGCAGGACTAAACACTCACTTAAAGAAGTATAGTAGGCATTCTTTGTATGTCACAGGCGCTTGAGGGCCTTCACCCAGTCCTTACCTATAAAGGACACAAGCTCCGTTAGTTAGCCAGTCAGTTCTTGTGTACACTGAACTATTGTCCTGGATAAATCTGCCGGATTTTAGGAAAAACGTATACTACAGTAAGTAGTTAATTTAGATGTCAAAACCTAATGTACCGTGTTCCAGACACTATTGATATTTTTCTTGGTTTTTATGCGATACCTTGATGGAGGGGCCTTTATCTCCACAAACAGCATATATAGAAAAGCGGCGACCTTTGAAATAGGTTTGCATCTGCCACGTTAACTCATCTTCTTATGCCCCCTCAGCTATAGTGGAGTATTTGGAATCTATATAATTCATAGCGCATATGCCACGAATTCCGTGGCATTGCCCGATACCCCGATAACGGCATGGAAAGTATATTGCTGATGTGAGAGGTGAAACCACGTAATTTGATTAAGCCAATTGACGCACTACTGCTAAAACTGCAGTGTCATCGTCATAATCAGGGGGGTCATGCATCTTACTTATTACTTTATTAATATCTGCAGGCAACTTCGAGCATCTTTTTTGAGTTTGTCCACATTTCGAGGCAATGCAAGAAGGAGAAAATCGATCAGTTCAGGGTCGATCAGCTCCGCAGACAATTAGCATTTTGTTCTACTTGGTAAATTTCCCGGTCGGGTTTGGTCCTGCAGCCCCACGGGCGGTAGGGAAACCCTAGACGTCTGTAATGCGCGAATGGTGGTCATAGAGGTCTTATGAGTGAGCCTTAGGACAAGCCAAGGGAAAGGCTGAAGTGCAGGAAAGCAAAGGGAGTCATATTCGAGCGGACGAAAGTAGTTTAAGAGGGGTGAAATGTGAATGCGGAATATGAAAATTAAAAGGTGTATGCAGAACAGTTTGCGGAAACCGTTGGTGCGCACGCACTACGAAGAAATGCGACGGGAAAGTTGCTAACCGACAGAAAGTGGGAACACACTGTCAAGGTCGCTCCGCAAAATGTTCCAAGAAAGTGATGAGTGATCGAGTCAAGGGAGCAAAACAAGGCGAGAAAATAGCCACGGGAAGCAGTTATGCAATTAAAGTGTCATAATTATGTCGTGAAAATTTTAATTTAAAAGGAGGATACCCAAAACGACGTAGTAGTCCATGAAACCATGAGGTCAGTTGTTAAACGGGATGGACAGGACTAAGCGACTGCGCAGCCCCGAGGGTTTTAAGAGCGGCTTACGCAATCCTGATGAATAAATACTTTTAATTATTTCCTTTGCAGACCGTGGGCGAGCAAAACGTGCAGGAGGAGCGCGCAGTTGGACAAAACCACGGAGTTTACCAAAGTGCAAGGGGACAACCAATTCGCCTCCCCGTGTGCAGTATTTGCAAGATGAAGGACTGCTCCCATCGAGGGTAATATGACACTGCGATATGCCAGCATACCCAAGTAGGCATGATTTTAGATGCGATGGACACAGAACAAATATTACTAAGCTTCGATCATGGACATATCTTACAGGTTTTAAATGAGTGCAGTAGAAAAACTAAGTGGAACCTGAACTGGTCACATCCCACGAAAGTTTGGAATGGATTCATCTGAGCGATTTGGATTGAGATAAATGAATCGTTTTTACTTGAGACCTCCTATTTTTAGAATAGACCGAGATACTGATGTGGACCAGACTGACATTAACGTCTTACCAGTGCCGTTGACGCACGTAGCCTAGCTAGTCACTGGATTAGGAAGGAAAGTGACCGCGTGGTCAACTGAAAGCTAGGTCAGCGTACACTTCTTCTTAACAGTGCCAGTGAAGATATTTAACACAATCCAGCCTACTCAAAATACTTCAGTAGGTTGATCGTATGACGTTCGTAAAGTGCGGCTGCAGGACCAAACCTTACCTCTCCGAGCCGCCAGCAATTCCACAAATCTGGTCAGGTAGACACTTTCTTGTAAATAGAAGCGAAGAGACGAGTCCCAGGAAGCAGTCCTATAGAAGGAGACACGACCGCTGGGACAAGGGCTTTATTAGCCTGACGTTTCGGATTCCTGCTCGAACCCATCATCAGAGACAAAAGCAGATACGGATGGTTCATACACAAGGGGCTGCAGTATTTATAGGATGCAGTAGCCATGCTACCGCATACCTATGAACATTCATGACTCCCCCCTTCATCCAGGATTGTCGCACTTGGTGCGATCATTGCTTAATGGCCGATATTCGAGTCGATAATTGCTGTAATTTCATCACGTGCTTTGGATGTTGGCGTGATGATTGCTCGACCATCTGACGCACCGAGCCCGGTGTTGGGAAAAGTGTTCACCACTGCCCTCCTCGCATGGCTTGTTACTCCGCCTAGGCGAAGTTTTAGCACGGAGTATGGAATGGGAAGCTCGTTGCACTTGTTGATGGACTGGGGGCCAGTAAACCATGACTCAAGCAGCTCCCGGCTCACGCGGTTTTCACCTCTTGTGAGTAGTTCGGCCTCGTCAAGTTTGAATGTGTGGCCGGAACCCGTCGAATAAGCCGCAACTTGAGAGCTTGCGTCATTTCTCCACACCGCTGCCGCGTGTTCGGCCATTCGCGTTTGGGGTTGTCTTTCGGTTTCTCCGACGTAGTTACTTTGTTCGCAACTGCACCAGATCCGATAAACGACTCCAGACGTTTCTTGCCGTGGCAGTGGGTCTTTAGGTTCCATTAACTGACGCCTGATGGTTGCCTCCGGTCTGTGTGCCACTCCAACCCCAAGTGGTGCGAGAAGGCGGCCGACAGCTTCCGAAACATTAATGACATATGAAAGCGCTCGCCAAAATTTGATGTCCATTCGGTTAGGCCTTTCGTCCGTTTTGCGCATGCACCGCTTGACAAAGTTGCGCGGGTAGCCATTGGCTTTGAAGACCCGTCGGAGGTATTGTAGTTCGGCAATCTTGTCTTCCGGCTCACTGCAGCGCGTTTCGACTCGCCGATAGAGCGTCCTTACACAACTGCGTTTGTGGCTGATTGGGTGGTTGCTGTTGAAGTTCAGTACTTGCATCGTATTTGTCGCTTTCCTGAACACTGGTTTTTTGATTACCACAATCTTTGCGGCATACGAGGACATCCAGGAGGGCCAGCTGGTTGCTCTCCTCCTTCTCCTCCTCCTCCTCCTCCTCCTCCTCCTCCATCGTAAATTGTATGTATAGGAAGACCGCATTCAGAGGTTTCTTGGATGTAAGGAGTTGATCCCAGTCGATAACGACGAAGGTATAATTCACATACCGGGCCCAAAACTTCGATCTGTGGTGTTGGAAAATCAGCGACTCCAACCGTTGCAGGACCGCCTCGGGGATGAATCCCGAAATCGGCGAACCTATTTGTGTGCCCTTCACCTGTTCGTAGATCGTCCCGTCTAACATGAAGGACGTCCTGAGACACTTGTACTCAAATGACCACCCGAGGTGTCGACTTTGTCAACTTGAATTTGGGAACTAAATGTGCTCTTAACGTTTTAGTTTGGGGTAATATCTACAAGAAATTGAACTTGACCCGATTATGCCTCACAATAACCTTTATTTTGCAGAAACCAAGACTTTCGAATGGAATGAAAATAATAAGTATTATTCAAGAAAACCTTAACATTTTTGGCAGAAAGGACAATTTCCATGACAAGTTTAGTTGCCATGATATTCTTTGATAGATCATTGTGTTCGGCACCTGCCGGGACAGAACTGAAAAACGTACAAATCCTGAGTTCAAAGATAGGGGGTTAGATGGGACAAAAACCAAAGTACGCTAGGTTCGAAGTCGACAGAAGCAAGCGAATATAGATGTAGGCTCCTTCTGTTTCTTATACAATTCAGAAATAATCTCCGCACCAAGAGGTCCAAGTAGGACTCTAATTTGTATTTTTAAGACCATCTGTGACAGCGGAATAGGTGGGAGGCGTACTTACAAAAATAACCAAAAAGCAACAACAGGCTTATTTTTAGCATTGATAGTAAAAATTCGATTTGCGTGTAATAAAGCGGGTGAACTGGGTGTGTAGTGGGATGAGTTTGCAGTAGGTATTCTCTGTATGCCGCAGGTGCTTGGGGATCTTCACCCGATCCTTACCGAACGTAGTCCATAATTGTTTTGTGGTTCGATATATAGTTGTCCTGAAAGCCTAGAATAGGGCGTTTATCGGTCGGCAATGTGTGCAGAAATTCGCTGTGGTACGCCAGCTTCCATGGAAGTCGAGTTCAACTGCCTTCCGTCAGTCGATTAGGACAAAACGGTCGGCCACGTACGTTTCTTGAAAGAGGCAGGGACTCTAGAGGTATAGCGCTGAAATAATCAGCCGGCTATCGGAGTGTTTTGTACATAGCAGGTGTGTCATAGATGGTGACTAGAGTTCATGCGCCAGTCGGCAGAACAGTTGCCCTAAAGTATGGCTTTCCAGTTCGCCTCTAGGTGATGGGATCGAAAGGTTTCATTCCGAACGGGGAGAGAAACCGACAGCCGGTGATAGACAAGGATGCACAAGACACATCTGGCGATGGATAATCTAGATCAAAAGTCACAGGTGACACCCAGGGATCTCCGGACTGTCCACAAATCAACTATTGGCGCGGCCGAACTCTTAGGCAAGTTTGAGCACCACACGGCAAGACAGTTGTAAGGGACGTGGTTTTTTAATGACCACTCACTTGACTTTCCCATCGATCTACTCGATTTAGACAGGGCTCTTAATTCCCTACTGAAAAGAGTCCAAATGACTTGTAAACGTTGATGGACAACAGACACAGATGAGAATACCCAGTCCACAGCCAGTAGTGGTAGCGAGCTAGAAAAATGAAGGCGTGTTCCTCAGCCAGGTGCCCTTTAATGCGTCCACTACATAGAATTTACTAGCCTCTGATCATGGAGAATCTTAGACGCCGTGTGAATGGTTAGACACGCAACGATATTACCCGTAAGCGCTGCCTCTTCTAACAGATTTATATTGTAGACCGTAGTTGTGAATCAAACGGAAGAATGTTTAGGCAAGGCCGCCTCTTTAGTTGAAAGAAGAATCTGGGATGAAAAGATATATTTTGTTCACTGACGCTCTTTAAGCCACATATGGACACATTTTATTGCGGTCGTTAGAAAGGAATGCATTTGAATTTGTTCAACCTACGTGTGGAATCTGATTCCGATGAATTTAAATGCGACATTATCTGAAGCAAAATATTCGATAGACGGTTCCCCTACTTGAGGAGCTCAACGTCAACGGACGTTCGTTATGTAAATATAGTTCATTTGCCGCCACTGAGGATTAGCAGCTTCAAAAACTTAGTGGATGTCGGCTGAAGGGAGAGACAGCCTAATTGTCTTTCTATCAAGTAAAAATTTGAGCGGAACTTCAGGACTTTCTCATAATTTGACCACTTCAATCAGTCAGCACTTAGGTGGGCAGTAGAAAATATCAAGGAGTCCTGCCTACTACTCTAGGCTGTTACATGACCCGATTAAGTCGCCAATAGCTCGAGCATTACGACGGAGACAAATAAGAAGACGACTTAGGAACTGCGCAGAATTTCTAGTATTCTTAGATGCGCTTTAAGAAGGCAAGTGTTTACCTCCATCAGCCCAATATAAATGCTGCATTTCCAAGGTCGCAGGGCTATACAGTATGCCCTGAGCAAGCATGATAAAAGATGGGCGAAGTTGCTGAAAGGGTTCTGTGCACCTGCAATTTCTGAGGTACTAAGTTGCACTCAAAAAGGCGGTGGATGAGGATTGGAACGTTTCATTGGCTCTTGAGAACTGTATCTAGAATACTCTGCAGTCTAGACCGGAATACTAGAATGTTCGTTTTGAATTGTGGTTTCGTTGGAAATCGTATGATATTTAAGACAAATTAACTGGTTAAGATATCTTGGTCGTAAGTAGTTATATTACTTCTTTTTTAAAAAACTAAACTCGCCTTCCTTTCTTACTCGGATGATTCGGCAAGAGCCCTTCTCTGGCCCTCTTTGTAACTCCAGCGTCTAATTAACCAGATACATCCTCAAATTCAGGATGCAAGAACGAGGAAACTGCAGCTATTCAAATAAAAAAATGTGCCGAAACATATTTCGCAGTCTCAAGGTAAATATTCTCACCAAATACTTGATAACTTCACGGTATCAAGTCACGGAGAGATTTGTCTTATGTCATGATGATTGCCAGGCTGTGGCATTCGATCACCATTGAAAAAATCGCGGATGCACACGTTAAACCAAAAAGCGATATTTCCTGACTAATGTGAAAAAGTGAGTATGCCACTAAGTTCGAGTTAATGCTGATTAGCTTACCACGCTGCCGTGCATCTTTGGAAAAGGGACTCAATGTTAGGATAGGCGCATAGATAGTAGGCTGCTTGCTTCCCAACTGTCAGCCCGTAGTAAGCTATCTGCCGAAATCGCACCGATGGATGTCGTTTCATGGGCTCTCGGACTACTTTGTTTTAAATCTACTGTCTTAACTGAAGATGTATTTTATGGAATGTCAGCTCTACTCCTACTGACTGCCCGAAAATGAGGACCTTCATCAAGTTAACATTCGTCCAGTGATCTTGGGCTACTGAATAAATGTAAGTAAAGCGGTGCTATGAATCCGAAGGTTTGCTGCTGACTACATCATTTAGGTATTTGGAAGTCGCATGGGTTTCAGATTCTTAAATTGGAACAGGCAGTAGAAGTTTTGTGTATGCGACTATGCAAACGCTGAAAGAGTAATTCGGATTACGCTCGATCTTGTGAACATGACTTGACTGCTGCACGGAGCCAGGTGCTGAGGCACAAAAGCCCTATGTAATGTGAAGGTTATGAGGCATATAGATGGAGTGGGAAAGCAGTTGCGTGCTAATCCCATATTCCGTAATAAGTAGCTATGCGAGGAAACCTTTCTCATTTTCCTGCCTGCAGCTTGAACTGCCAAACGCTTTTTAGAATTTGTCACAAAAGTACTTTCTTAATATTCCCCATTTAGGGTGAATTAAAAAGGCACTGAAAGTCAGTGAAAAACCGGCATACATAAAATGACACTTTTTGTAAGTGTTTGAAACTATTACAAAGAGCCGAAAAAATCACATTTAAACGGCAGCATTTTCATACGCATGTCAAAATTTCACTTAAGTTATCTTTCTCTGGGCGGATCCGCCTGTTGGAGTTTTGGTCCATGCTTCTTGAGTTTTGCCACAAACAATATAACCACTTGCCCTGTTAGTATCGTGCTCAAAATCACACCGGTATGTCCAGAAGCTAAACTGTACTGATATCCCATTACCTCTGGTGAAGAAATGAAAAACGATGGCTGTATTTTACTTATTAAAAGCTCATTATTATGCTCATTTTTGGGGCACACGGCGGACGTTGACGCACTTATATGAAACGAAATATAAAACGAACGACATATTTAGAATATAGCAATAAACTCCTAACAGTTTCAGTCACCGTCTTAGGTAGTTCTAACTGTATCGACTAATACATATGCTGTCTTAAGGTAATTCAGAGTCCAAAACATCACATACCCGTACCCTTCTTTGGGACTCCGGCATTGGATGCCCATTTAACACTCTATTCTCGAGTAAAAAATACCGAAGCCCTCAACATCCGCTCCAAGTCTGCTATTCAGTCACTTTTTCACTCGCCAGTAGACTGAAATCAACATCACAATGGCTGCCACATCACTGCGGCGCCCGCTAGGAGAGAGAAAGCCGTGGGCGACACCTGCTCTCGGTCAGGACAGTGCTTGACCGAACCACCCGAGGCGAGCGCATTTTCCTGCTTCACCAGTAAGAAGTGCCCTCGGTTGACTGTAAACTTGACTTTACGCAATATGGTTTGCGAGACGAATCCAAAATACTTTCCCGATCACGAACTGCCCGGTGGGGTATTTGGACCAGAATTTCAAGCAGTGGGAGGGAAGATTTTGCGTCCAACCCATATGCTGATATTTTTGCCTGCTGTTTAACCTCTCAGTGTGAGCATCTACCTTCTAGAGTTAACTGTACATGCTGCGACCAAACTGGAAATCGGACACAGGAGAGTCGATGCAGAAAAGCAATCGGCAAACCTGTAAATATCATCGATAGAAAGGAGAGGCCAACTAATGTCTAGCAGTGCTTGAGCATTTCCCTTTTTGACTTCCCTTGATAATCCGATCAGTTGTATGTAAGGTTTCCTTAAAGGAGTGCAATGAAAGGCCGATATCTCCGACGTGATGTTGGATCCAGATGCGAGAGCTTTTCCCCATCTGTGCAAATGCGAAATCGGAGGGTACTGTGAATGGAATCTGGCACATCAATCAGTTAATGAAGCCAGGTAGGAGATAACGACTTTGTCGGATGCCAACAGCAATAGCGAGTTACTGTTCTCTTTACCACACACTCGAGGCGTCATCCATACTG